AAAAAAAAAGAAAAAAGAATATCAAAACTTGCCATAGGCCCTCTCCAGACAATGGCATCCCCTTCTGCCACAAGAGATCCCATTGACATGCACTTGACACCATAGTTCTCAATCGGGATCATTTTCTTGTCTGCCAAACAGGATAAACTAATCTAAACACAGAAGATAAGAAAGGAATAGGACACACATTGATGTAGATAACACAAAAAGAGCAATATCAAAAACCAATTGACAGCCATGGACAACGCTAAACAAACTCATCCATATTAACTAAACTTAATTACCATCAAAATCTATTACCATACAGAGGTCATAAAACAAATGTTTTAAGGATATGAAAATGCAAAATCAAGACACCCATTTATGTCGATACTCGAAAGTGACAACAGAAAAAAATGGAAAGATGTTGTGCAAGAATGCTACATATCACATCAAGTCACCACCTTCGGTCACTTCCGGCTTTCCCTGGAGCTTCATCATTATCGGGATCGACGGCCCATAAACATCCGCATCAAGCAAGCCGACTTTAAGCCCACATTTATTCGCAAGTGAAACCGCCAAATTGACTTCAAATGTACAAAACACACACATAAAAAAAAAACCCAAGTCAGCTAATTTACCACAAAACCACCAAGAATCACTTCATCTAACACATTTCACACAGTTGAAACCATTCAAAGGACATTGTTTTCCCCCCTTTTTATCTAATTTTTGTGCAAGAAAATATTAAGTGCTCGAAAATTACCGGCTGTGGTGGATTTGCCAACACCACCTTTGCCTGAGGCAACAGCTATGATGTCTTTAATCCCTTCAATCTTCAGATTCTGAACATTGGGCCCATTTCCACTCTGCACGGCGAAGCCCCTCAGGCCTCCAAGCTTGAAGAACGAACACATGACGCCATCAAAATTCTTGATTAGTTTTAAGGCCCGTGAAAATTGAAGTTTAAAATTTTGATGACAGCTCGTAATTATCAACTTACCTTGCAATTTTTGAGAAGCCGATTCATGGAAAATTTTTCAGCTCTGAATCTCAGATTAATTTTCATGAACAAATCAGTTCATGAAAGAAGAAAGAGCGAGAAAGTGTAAAAGAATTACAAAATGCACCCTGATATTTAGCCTTATTGCAAATAAAAACGAATGTGGGGGTAATTAACCTGATTTCTAGGGTAGTTTTTGCAATTAGTGTTCGTTAGGCTCCAAATTAAGGAAGAAAATCGCCTATAAACTAGTTCTCTGCATCGATACAGCCCATTGGATCGGACCAATTTTGGGCCTTACTTTAGATTTGTTTTTAAATATAAAAAAAAAAAAA